CCACCCGTTCGGTCTGGCGACGTTGTCGGTCTCTACATATCCCTCCCTCCCCTGCGTAAGCCGAATCCGAAGGATCCCACCGACCCGGCCCATCTGCACCGAGAACGCATCGCTATCGAGTTCAAGGGACAGGAATACTTTGAGGCATTAGAGTACCCTCAAACGAAGGAGATGTCGGCTCTCATGGACTTCAAAACGAAAGCCGAATCGGCTGCACCTGTACCGCCGCCCGGAGCCAAGAAGGGCGCGACAATGAAGAATGTGTCCGAGCGCGCACGCGAGAATGATTCTTCATCCTCCAGCGCGGCTGATCTGCGGCCCCTTCCCACCCTCGAAGGTTCGCAGATCGCCTTCTTCATCAACGGTGCAACCCCCGGGCCTGCCTTCCGCGACATTTACGACTTCCTTCCTCTTCAGCAGTCCGCGAGCGCACGACACAAGCCCGAGAAACGTAAGCGCGAACGCGAGGGTGTGCGCGGGCATCATGAGAACTCTTTCGACGATGGTACGCTTGGCTATTATCCCTTTATCTCGCTCTTCGGCTGCGCGCAGGTGCGTCTGAATCCTGGCCCCGACTTCGCCTTCCCGCCGCCGCCCGACATCGATGCTGCACTCGCCGAAGGACCAAATACGGAGCAGGATCCGGACGCTCCACGTACCTGGCGCCCGCTTTATGAGCGCTACAAGGAGTACATGGATGAGCAATGGGCACTGGATGAAACTGAGCAGGAGGAATTCAAGAAGGAGCTTGCACGGAGGGCGGTGGAGGAACGTGAGGAGGCGAAGAAGAACGCAGAACGTGCACGCAAACGAGGAGCTGCGGCGGCACGGAAGCGTGCAAGAAAGGAGCAGGCGGCGGCTATGCCGGTGGTTGGGACTGGCTCTGCCCCGCTTGATGTGCTAGGGTCGCCTGCACCGTCGCAAACGGGCGCATCGACGCCCGCCGTGCACAGCCGCGCGCCGTCGGAATACGAAGAATTGGAGGGTGAATTTTACGGCGGCACGGAGGAGGGAGACGTGTTTGAGAGAGAAGACTCCTTGGTGCGTGATCTGCTAGCGGACAGAGGTTCGTCAGCATATAAACGCGCACCCTCGGAGCCGGACTCGGAGACGCTTTGGCTCACACACGCTGAAGAGGAATAAGCTTTGTGTCATTATCGACTCATATTATTCGATTGCTTCATAGATGCATGGTATAGTTTTTTTCAGAGACTCGTCTTTTCTGACTTTCGGGACTCACTAGGCCTCACTAGGCCTCACTATAGGTGCGTGCGATACACTTAGCTGAAGTCACGGGACCGCGACCTACTCTCGGGGCTGGACTTGGCGTGGGAATCCAAACTACGGTCGGGTAGTAGACCGACAAAGACATACAGTAGAGCTGTCGTCGCGGCTCCAAGCTTCGAGTAAAAATGACACGCCAACAAGCCCAAACGGTATGCCAGAATTCCATAAAGCTGGCTCGATGCGAGAACGAACTCAACCCCGAGGCCCAGGGTAAGGTTGACCGGATTGGTATTAAGGCATCAGTAATGGCGGGAATATCGAGAGTATGCAGACCGTCGGGGCTGATTCCGATAGCATCCCCGAGGCAAACAGCAGAAAATTACAGCACATTGTAACAATAGTCATTTTAAGTTCACAGTGACGCTGCTCCCTGCCATCCCGTCTACCGGCAACTCGAAATTCAGAGCGTGTATGACACCTCCCATTGTGAGGTCAACTGTGATTCTTTTGAGTAATTGTGTTGGGTCCGAGAGGGTAAGAGTCAGCCTCTCTAGCGACAAGATGAGTGCAGCACCCGCGTCTGTGGCTGCAGTCACGTCTCCCACCACAGCGTCCGAGAACGTTACCGAGCCACCAGAAGTGTCCCAGAACACCGCCGCCAAGAGGTGATGGGTAGCGTCGTATACAGCTGAAATGTGCGCGTCGTTCTGCACTGTGACGATGGCTTCAGAGCGATTAGAGCTCCTGTTCTGGAAAGTCGACAGATCCGTGGCAGGGAAGCTGAAGTACGTGAGGGCGGCGGAGGGTGCCTTATGTTCGATCCAGGCGGTGAAAAGGTCGACCGTCTGGTTTCCCCGGCCGGAGACGCCAAGCACGCTCCAGTCACCAGTGCTATTCACGACAGACACTCCTAGCTCAAAGGAGTCTGAAGGTACGAAGACATGACCGATGCCGCCGTGCCAGAGAGAAGAGCCCGAGCGGACGTAACCAGAGCTTGCGTAATGACGCTGGTCCAGAACAGTGAGAACGGGAGCGCTGGATCTCGAGGTGACGTTGCTGATCAGGACGACTTGTGTGTCGTCGTCAAGGAAGAAAATAGCCTTCTGCCAGCTAAGAGCACGAGTGTAAGGGTTCGTGTAGCGCATTGCAGCAAGGCCCACAGTGCCCACAGTGACGCCACCGACGAACGATTCGAGACCAGTCCATTTTGCGTGCTCACAAGCCAGAGGAGTGTTGTTGTAGTCAGTCGTGATGCCAGGAATCATATTCCAGTCCCAAGACGCCGCAATGTCTTCGTATTCCGTGCCTTTGAGGTATGTGAACAGCGCTCCATCTGCGAGATGGAACCCGTATGGCTGAAGCGAGGAATCAGCTCCTATATACAACGGGGAGCAAAACGGATCGGCCTACGTTCTGAGAATTCGTGCACTCGGTGTTTAAAGTGCGGGTGGAGTACATTTTCACGGTGGAAACATATCCCACGCCGCGGTGCACCTAGCCGACACTGTCAGCCTCATCCACACCGGGCAGTGAACCAGGCAGAGCCTACCATGTAGTCGTTCGACCAAAACATCCTGTTACCGGTGATTTGACCAACGTTGGCGTCCTGTGAAGGCTTGACGAGCCTGCTGTGCGCGTTCGTCAGCACTTCTGAGTTCCATTGCTGGCCCAGTGTCTTTGACGGTGTTCAGTGAGCTGACTGCCGCGTGCAGACAAGTAGACTGCGTGTCCAATTCACCTGGATCTCTGCAAGATTTAAATTTATGCTGGCAGTCGCTCTTTACCATTATGTTAGTGCACGTGCGCTAAGGACGGTCAGAATACTCACTGATCATCGGCCACAGCAAACGATATGAAACGAGACAGTGCACTCTGTAGCAGTGTAAACGGCACCAACCCAACCGGGTGTAATCCCGACGTACGAAATCCCAATGCAAAACACCAGTTTCGACATTTCGGTAGATCATCCACAAGTCCGCACTGATGAGAGACTCTAGTGCTGACCGTGCGGCTGATGTTTGTTCTACCGCAAAAGACGTTCCTGCAGCCAAAATTTCCAGCTGGAGAAAGTCGTTGGTCCTATGCTTGACTTAGCTGTACCCAGAACGGACATACGAGACAAGTACAAACATGTCCTTTCCATAACCGCCACTGAAAAATTTCCAGGTCAGAGATGCTCGGACTTTCTTATTCGCGCTGAATTACGTACTTATAAAGCAAACCCAGATGCTGAGTGAAAGAGCCATCGGGCTTGATACCATCTACTGTCACGCCGGGTCTTACTACGACTTCTGCGTGGATTCTTTCATATGCATCCGACATGAGTGTGATATTGCCGGTCAATAAGGCAAGGTCCACGCCGATCTGGCAGGATGCACCGTCAAGCAAGAGTAGAAATGAGTAAATCTGCGGACGCACAGCTGCAATGTCGAAAATGTTGGCGCCGGACAGGAAGCCGTGTTTGCGGCCGTCAGTGAATACGTCATATGACCGTCCTATCATCACAATGCAAGATGCGAGCTGGCCATCCGATAATAAATCCCGAGCAAGAAGGCAACTTTCCGCAACTAGTCGAGGCGTTCCGATGACCTGACGGAGTAAAAGATGGGGATCCGGACGAGATAGTTATGACTTACATTAGAATACCAGTTGCGATTCCAAAGGCCTGGTGTTCCACAGGGGCAGGCAGATGTCCCACCACGATGGAGGCAACCGGGTTCTTTGAAGTCTTGCGAGAACCAGAATGACATTCCATTGGAAATGACGTACGCCAGTCTTGGATCCTCGTCCCATTTTCCGGCATCTTGGAGGTCACCGTGCCATGCGGCAGCAAGAGTCACTAGGCCATTAGTCAGTCGAATCGAAGACAAAGATGAGATGTCACGAACAGACACGATACCAATGTTCTTGCGCAGGCCAGTCTGCCCGCCGTGCCTCGCAACCAGCAGTGTAATCGACATCTTCCCAATGACCGTCCGCTTGTATACTCGACATCCTATGAGCAGGTCAGTAGGAAGCATAATGAGTAGATTGTAGTAATCACCAGGAAGAAATACGAGAAACGTCTTGGATTTCATCGGCTATGAAAGGAAAACGTCGGTTCAAAATGGTTTGCAGGTCAGACGCGGCTGGAATAGAGGCTGATGCGATGGTGGAGATCTCAGCAGCGGCAGACGGTGTGGGAAGTGCAGTAGTAACAAATGTTGGGGTAGAGATAAGCGTCTGATCCATGGATGCTGAAGCAAGAGTGCCAACTGCCATGGCAGAAGATGCATCCGAATAGGTGGCAAAAAAGGTCGATGAGGCATTTGGTACCTCTCCGAAGAGAGCCTGTGCGCCTCGCCGTGCGTGGGGCACAATCATTGTCGGCGAGGGCTCGCAGCTAGTGAAATAGTAGCTGTGAAAGCAGGTAGGAGCTGGGAGAATGGCGACCATAGTTATAGCCAGCGCGGGGACAAGTGCATATACAGAGGCCTTGTAGATTGCGTAGCTCTATCATGAATCCCGGTGGGCTTGAGCCGACAGTCTGAGACACCACCTGAGACGACGCATGAGTGCACGCGCCTAGTCGACGCAGCAGTAATTTCAAAGCGGAAGACAGTGGTGGCATATCAACTGTGTATCGCTGAAGTGTAAGCAAAGTCCTAAGACGGATTATGGACGGTCTTCAGGCTGGTCACGGTTGCAGTGACGGAATCGTGAGTCAGGTTTAACGACTAACGTTTGTCGGGTAAAAACAAGAGATAATAAGTATTGACTCCTCCTTCAGTCAAGGCGCTATAGCCAAGTGGTTACGGCGACAGATTAGAAATCTGTTGGGGTTCCCCCGCGCAGGTTCGAATCCTGCTGGCGTCGATTGATAGTTTTTGGGCTCCCCTTCCTGCGGGCTTCGCAAACTTAGTGTACCGTTCGAGGCTTGCACTTCGCCCACACTGTGCTCATATGGTACTTGCCGTTATCTTCAATCGAACGCGCAAGCGGGCTGAGGGTCCGCTTTTACCCAAGGTAGTGACAGAGCAAGGTCAGGGCCACTTAGTAAATAATGGTGTGTACATGTAGAGCAGCACCCGTTGTCGCTGCCCTCTTAGCATACTTGCCTGGATGTCATAGTATATGTATTGCAGATGTTGACTCCCGTTAGCTGTAACAAGCCAAGGTCTTTTGCCCAGTAACTTAGCTGAATTGCGGTGAAAAAGTTTTACGATGTCCGAGTAATTGACATGGCGAATGCGGGTTCTAGTGGTACTGATGTGGAGCAATGACGCAAGCCGTTGACTACCCTGGTCCCCCTTCTCACGCAGATTCCTCTGGTTACCCTACGACGGCCCCAAACCAAGGGCCCCAGGTCATTAGGAGTCCGGCGAAGACGGGCTCAGTGTAGTACACTACATGGCAAGCATAGAGGTCTTATGTCGGTTCGATATAGGTGGACGGAGATCCTTCACGTAACAGATCGTACACGATAGTGGACGGGCGACCGTCTTCGACGCTCCGGTCTGGTGGATGACAGTTCACCGTGGGGGCGCCTGCCAGCGTGGCGCCGGGACGCGTGTCACATATCTCAAATCCACATCAGTCGGAAAAGGAGCAAAAGTAAGCGAAGCACACACCCGACCGTCACACCGTGCCCCTTCATCTTCTCTACCCGCAAGTCAAACACCATCTCGCCGGACTCAGTGTCCCGCGAGATGCTACACCAGTTTCTGCGTCCGATGATATACGGCGATTTGAGTCTTGCGCCGTCGGTGTCCGTCTGGAAGAGGGGGATCTGTGTGTACTGTTGCATCAGATGCTCTTAAGTACGGCACGAGTATCAGAGAAACAAACCATGGTTTCATCAGTGTTCACGCTATGCATCGTCGAGTGTGTTTTTGTCGATAGTGAATTGACAAGGGACAGCACGGCACCTGGCGGTCTATGTTCCACCCGTCAGACGTTCAGTGACTTCGGTGAGCAAGGACTGAAGCACGCACGGTGTGTTGACAATGGCACTCGTAACGATGTTGACCATGTACCGGAAGTCAATGGCAGGCTGAATATCGGGCTGTTTTTTGTTCTTCACAAGTGTCTTGAAGACACCAACGGCGCCACAGTGCACATCGCCGGACACAAATGAGATCCGCAATCGCTGGTTGAGTGCTATGGATTGCAACTGTTCGACGAACCAGTTGCGTTCTGTTTTGTGGTGTTTTGAAGTCCAGTGGTCATTCTATTGGGTAATTAGCGCTCCGGCCGCCGCTACGAGAAAGGAGTAGGACGCACAAGGTCATCGAGAAGCTCGGCATCAGCGTTAAACTTGTTGACAAACCCTTTCAAAAGGGTACCAGAACGAGAGAGGTTCACGAGCGGGTTCAGCTTGGACGACAGCATCGTCTCAAGGAAGACCATGCGCGGGTATGCAATAGGGATGCCTAAGCATGACAGCTCAAACTCCAATCTATACCATTACTTGCCAAGACGAACACACCCAGCTGAATAATGAGATGATCTGTATTCGGCGACAGAGCGTTCACACGCCCCAACACTTTCCTGTACTCTTCTTGACTGCATACCTGTGTCAGCATCCGCTCTGCTCGGCAGTCAAGCATGAGTATTGCGGTAGTCGGGCCGAGGCGCGCGAGGATAGAATGGGAGGGGAACGGAATAAAAGGGCCGGGGGCACCAATAACGAGCGATTTGCACCAATGTCCCCCTGGTCTATCGTCGTAGCCATCGATTTCAGCTACGCGTAGGCACATAAGCAAACCTGCTCCTGGGACAGTACTCTATACGTACGACTGATGAAGCACTGGAAAAGTAGGAAGAAGAAATAGCCTCTTGAGCCAATACTGTCGAGACTTGGATCAGACCGACTCGCTATAAACGTGAGCAACTTACTGCCCGAATATAGGCGACCGCATGAGATCGTCAGGATCTGAAGAGTGTTAAATCCAGCATTCGGATAGCTTCCGAAGACCCACAGCTTCCAAAACCATCTATCTGCGCGGAGCAAAAAGTTATTAGTGATTCTGGCGGTCAAGATGGAGGCTCGTACAAGGTCTGCGGGAGTTAAGCACAGAATCTGTCTCACATGCACAGTTACGGAGTTTACGCACCATGATCGTCTGTCGTATGCTTAGGCCTCAGATGCACGATTGCATGGACGCATGTTGGCACACGTACCCGCCATGTTCATCATCGGTCTTCATAACGCCCACATTTGCGTCAGGTCAGATTACGTGAGAGGTAGTACAAGAACACACATGGAGCTATTCGCACGCGCGAATGCACCACTCCGGAACGCATTACAATAGTGGTTGAAGTAGAAGCGGTCGATGGCCTCCGTAATCTCCTGTGTGAGGGGCATCCTCTTCTTCGCCTCTTGGTCGGCATTCGTCAGCCATTCCTGCATTTCAGGCTCGCGTACCAGCCTGTCATTCCCACAATGTCATGCGTCAATCAGATGAACGAGGCAGCCTGACCTACCCATCGCAGTAGAGCTGATCGCCGCCACCCATAAGTACATGGAAGGGCTTCTCACTATGCTTCAAGAGAAGGTCGACCCAGACGGGATCATATCCGCTTTGGAAGCCCGGCCCACGGAAGTCGTCTGGGTTCACTCCAGCACTGAAGCCGTTACACTAGAAGAAGAGGGACACTCGGCTTGAGGTACGCGTTCGTGAAGGGGGGTGCGCACCGAGTAAGCAGCGATGCGCATGGTCTCGTTCCGACCTGGAACGACGAACTCGATGTCTTGCCCGCTATTGAGGTTGTACCGTACGCGCATCTCCGTCTCTGACAGCGGGATCTGGATGTGGAACCGCCAGAAGGTTGAAGTCCTACACCAAGAAAGCGAGTATGAGTACCAGTGTGTGGAGCAAGGACCGTCGGCCTGAGGAGTTATTTTGGAAAGGCTGACGCACCCGCCGTTTCCCTCGTAGACCCAGATCTCCTGTCCATCAGCCTGGCGCGCCTGCGAGCGCGGACCGTCTGCGGGGGAACGTTCGATGACCGGAGCATACGACATGGCAGCGGGGTCGGCTGGGTGCGGACCGAGGTCAAAGGAGCGGCCGTTGGTGGACGTAGCGCGGTGTGTGCGCGTGAAGGACGACCTGCGCTGGTCGGGATCCCAACTATAGGTGAGCGTCGGGTAGGGTTCGTAAACGGAACCGACATCGGCGGCTGTACATAAGGGCGCAAGGGGTTGGATCGTGCGCGCAACTTGGAGGACGGGACCGGACTACGTACTGACTACAAGCACAGCGCCATGCCACACGCCGTGCTCATCCATAGTGTCGAAGCGGAGGAGCGGACCACACATGATCTGCAAGTGCGGGTGCATGCGCGCTTGCCGGAGGTTGCGAGAGCGCTCGACGGCGCTCATGTGGGCGACAGAGCCAGTGCTGACGTTGGACACCTGGGGCATCTTGAGGTCGGAGGGGCCCTTGGGAGGCACTGGAGGAGGGGTGGCAGGAGGGCCGGCATTGAGGTTAAAGCCACCTATAAAATGTTCAGGTATAGGGAGTGCCTGCCGCTCAACGGGTGTGAAGCGGCCGTCTGGGCCCCTGTATCGGACGGCCGCCTGGGATGGATATGTCGGCGGACGAAGGGTTCAGCTGAGACGGCGAAGTGCACGCACGGGGGCAGCGGAGCGACGTTGGGCGCGCCATCCTGCGTTATCCATGGCAGAGCCGGTCCTGGTGGCGGCGTCCGCGAGAGGGCGGTAATGGCAAGGGACAAGGACGAGCACGAAGAAGACCGGGGACGATTCCGGGTCATGTCTCATATACGATCACTCATCGCCAGCCAAGTCTCTGAAGAAGCGCCATCCAGCTTGATCTCCTCGGTTACTCGCATTGTCAATGGCATCGATATCCGTTCCAGTACGTAAGTCACTCGCCCTACTGACAAATACTATCACCGAGTTCACGGCAGCCGCACTGTTGCAGCCGCACTGTTGCAGCTTTCGCCCACCAGGAAAGGGACTAAGTGGTCCTATTTCCGTCCACTGACGTTCGAGTCCGGGTACAGGCCACGTTCTAGCAGCCCGTGCTGTATCGGGCGATTTTACTGTATGGGGTCGACGAACGTGTCGCAAATCTGGAATCTTGCTTATAAGTGGCGCTGCTCGTAGGCAGATTACAATATTAAAAATTTGATCATAGTTCAGGACAGTCCGATTGTCGCCGATTGTAAGCCGATTATCATACTGTCGGCTACCTCACAGGCAGCTTGCAAATGCCTGTGAGCAATTGTAAGGGGCTTAGAATAGCCCCCTGTGATGAATCTTTTGATGCTTACAAGTGTTATAAGCTGCCAGGCTTGATTGTAGCTATTTTAGCGCTTATAAGCAATTACAATCTCATTCCCATATTTGCGACACGACTTCTACCGTCCGCATGTACCTGCTTAGCGGAGACGAACATGGCCGTGGTTCAGTTCTTCAGTGTTGGATCAGACTCTTTTTACCTAGTTGACACTTCGGCCGTCACGCAACATCCGGTGGTAGGGTACGATATTGCCGAGTTTTTTCTAAACCTTTGTCCACTGCACCACCACGCTGCTGTGTTGATAGATTCAGCTTCTTGCCTTTCCTCGGGCACGTTCGGCATGCCTGAGCTCCCCCGTCCAGTCACGCTTGTGCATTTCAAGGATGGATCGAGGCCCAGTTAGGCTTTCTTCGGGACTTATACACCAAGACAACGGGAAAGTGATGCGATTGATTCTCCATGAGTACAGCAACATAATCGCGAATACAGAGTTAATGCAAATCCGGGTTTAAGCTTCGTGAGTCATAGCTCCACCTCCCGTTCATTACTACTGTCCATCATAGCGCGTGCCGTTCTCCGCTGTGCACCACTCAATCACTGCGCAAG